CATTAATGATAATTAAAATATGCATCAACTAGAATCACCTAACACCTTTGGGTATATAAATAAAACTAGTGACGCACACAAAATTATCTACTTTCATGTTCATTAATTATAATAACAACTAATCAACCTTTGGGTGATCCCGAAATGCCTTATAATAAAGAACTTCAATTAACCCATAAATCATTATTCATAATTTTAGCATTCATACTATGGGTAATTGAAATAAAATCATTAATAATTTGAAATAAAAATAACCTTAAAATTTTGGCCACTTTGGTGACTAACAAAATTTACCATGCTTAATTTCAAATAAATAATATCTTTAATTGCTATTAACCATTCATAGCATTTTTTTTATTAATTTTAATAAATATGTACATTATTCACATGATAAAATATTATGTGCCATAAATAAAATTGAAACTCATAATTTCAATTTTCATCCTAAGATTGATTTTGAATCCAAGACCTTTATTTGCATTTCACATAAAGTGAAATTGTCATTCATTCAAAACTTTTATGAGTAATTTAAACACAGCGGAAACAATACAATTTAGTTTGCAAAACAAAATTCATTCATTTATCAATGTTTACATTATAGGTACATTAACAAAGTTTCACAGTATATTAACAAAGCTTTCAGTACCCTTGACAAAGCTTTCAGTACCCTTGACAAAGCTTTACAGTACTCTTGACAAAGCTTTACGGTACTCTTAACAAAACAAAGTTTTACAGTACTCCTAACAAAACTTTATAGTATGAGTATATTATACAACTCACCTTAACATAAAAATAACTCTTTAATTATCCTTCCCCCACATAAAAAAATACGTACGTACAAAATAATGTACAAATAATATGAGGACAAAATAATATATGGACAAAATAATATAGGGAAAATGGCTTTAGCAGATCACCAGTCACCAATATGTACATACAAAATAATATAATATAATATAATATATGAAACATATGTGTTTAACACGTGCTCTCTACGTGCAAAGTTTATCAACTTTACAGTTTACCATTCTTCCATCATAATTATAACATCTCATCATAATTATAACATCACATCATAATTATAACATAATTATAACATCTCATCATAATTATAACATACAATGAAATTAATTTCATACATGATTCATCCTAACCCTATAACATCATTTGCCTTTTCAATTAGAAAGGATTACAGGGTTATTCACGCATAGGGACTATAAAATTGGTTTCAATTTGAACTTGAAAACATAATTAGGGTTTATTCCTTTATTTAATTTTGAGAAAAATTAAATTGGGAATAAATTAGGGTTCATACTAATCTGATAGAGAAATCCCTAAATTCATAATTAGGATTTATCTTAATTTGGAAAAAACTTAATATTTGGGAAAACTTTTATACAAGGAAAATCATAAATCTAATAATCAGTGCTCTGATACCACATGTAAAATAATATGTAGTTTTTCTACGTTCTTAATTCATTATGGAAAACTATTCTACAGGATCTTTAGATTATTGATTTTCACAATATAACATACATCAGTACATGAATCATAGTAAGAAGACTAACATTAATCCATGAGAGTCTATTCTTTAATCTTTTCTCTCCAATATCTTTTTCTCAATCTATCTCTTTGTCTTTCTTTCTCTTCTCACGCTTCCTTGATGGTTTACCGTGAAAAAAAAACTTATGACCGAGAGCAGTAACCCTTATTCTATTTTATTAATCAACATCCATCAAGTTGGTTAGCGTAAGTTAATATTTTTTATTTTATCTTTATTTTATTCTAACTTCACATAATAATCAATAGGTCCTCATATTTTATTAAATCACATTTTGACCCATTATTATATTTCACATGAGTCACGTAATGGAATGCATTAATTAAATTAATTCTAACAATATCTACTACACATTTAATATAATTTCTTTTAAATCAAATTTGTCACATATTCCATGACACCCATATCATTCATTAAGTTGAGTTCGTAAATTATTATTGGTCAATATTGATTACACAAATGTATGCTCGTAATCCAATTTAGGAAGAGAAAAATAACGATGATGTAGATACTCAATCATATATTACACTAACAAAACAAAGACATGTCTCGTAACAAAATTAAAGCTCTAGTTATAATATAAGAAAATATTAAATGATAAAATATATATAAAAAAATTAATTATATTTATAATTATAAATTTGTACTCTTAAAATATAAGAAATAAAAATATTATATGTTAGATTATTTTCTAATTAAATTAAAAACATAAAATGATAAAAAAAACATATAGTTAAAGTCGTATTCTTTAAAACACACAAATCATATTATATAATATGACTTTTTAATACGTAATCGTCCTATCAATTATCTAAATCTATAATTCTTTTAATTTTTTCTATTGATAAAATAAAATAAAAAATTGTCCCGATAAACCTCTTATTTATTATATATTTTAATTCAATTTTCTCGGTTTCATGTATACTTTTCATTTTTGTTTAATTTAATCTTATATATAAAATATTAATTTAAAATACAACAAACCAATAAGTCGATTAATTATAATAAATACATACAAAATTAAATTTTGGATTAAAATCATAAATTTTTCTAAAACATGTGATTAAAAGAATAAAAAAGAGCAAAATTACGAATAAAATATAAAAGAGATAAAACCTATATTTTAAAATTTTCCTATTCAACAAATAGAATTGGCAACTTTCTCTACCAAACAAGGGAAAAAGAATTCACATCTCTCACGTGGTTTGAGTCAAAGATCATGATTTCTTCACGGGCCTAGTTGGAATCATGTTTTATATTTTATTTAATTAATGAAATCAAATAAAATTTCAAACTTTGACTGTGCTGGTGCACGCACCTCGTCAGAAATGGTGCATTTTGTAAATAACGAAAGAAACTGTTTATATATATAAAAAAAAAATACTTTTTTTTTTCATGTTTTACCCTTTTTACGTTCTTTTTCCTTTTGCTATAAAACTCTCCTCCAAAATAACTTTAAAATAAGTTGGCATACAAAGTAACATTTATCCCATTTCTCTAAAATAAAGTGACTTTAAATTATGATTAGCTATTTTTTACAAAAATTAATTTTAAAATAAATTTTATAATCATATATCACTAATAACTTAGTTATAAAAAAAATGTGGTTACTCATTTCATCATCCAAATCTTTTGATATCATTTATTTATTTATTCGTAAAAATTAGTTTAGGATTTATGGTATAATTGAAACAAGGTACAACCCTTAATTGAACTGCACTTCAAGAAAGTTATCTTTCTATTAAACCCACATATTGTTATTAATAGCCAAATACTTAACTCTAACTTTATATAATTATAGTTTAAAATTCTTAAAAAAATGGAAAGAAAATAAAGATTGTGGAAGTTAAAATGTCTTATCAAGTGAAAAAGAGAATATAGAAGAAAATCTAAAACAAATTCAATTACTTTGTGTTCATTCTTCACGTTCAAACACAAAGAAAAGAAAGAGTCAAAGTTCAAATCAAGGTCCGTCTGTGAAATTTTGAAAACGGCTTTGACCAGCAGTCACGGACATTCAAAGAGATTTCCCATGCATACAACAAAATTTGGCAGCTACATTTTTTCTAGAATTTTAATTTTTTATTTAAAAATTCAAATTAAATTATTTAGGTAACTTCAATTTAAAAAAAAAGATAGTATTTTTAAATTTCGATTTTTTTTATTTTCTTTCAATATCAGACCGAATGATCTCATCATTCGATGTAAGGATCGGAATGGAATTTTTTTTTCATTTATATATTATTTAGTTAAACGTGTATTAGTTAAGATTTTATTATGAAATTAAAAATTTGTATTATTAAAATAAATCTTTATCAGTTTCACAACACACTCTCTCCTTTTTTTTAACATTTTCTTTTATTAGTTAAAAGTTATTGAAAGAAAATACAAAGCAGTACAAAAGATGTTGAAAGGAATATATTACAAAGTGTAACGTGATTCTTCTATTAATTCTATAAAATAAAAATTCCAAGATTCAATCACTCCATTTTGACCACTCTTTGATTTCCCACCCGATTGAGACCAATTCCCTGATTTTTACCATTCCAAATTTCCACAGACATTCTCTTCATTTTCAAAGAAACATCACTTCCCACCACTCAGTTTTTTCATTCTGCTCACTTTCTTTGACTTCATAAGGCCTTCTTCGTGGTCTAAGCACAACCACAAGTTATACCCATTTTTAACTTCACTCTGAGTTGCATGAGCTTCTAACCCATTGGTATGTAAAGTTCCTTCCTTTCGGCTTATTACATTCTCATGATTTGAACCGTCTTGTGTTTCAAAGTTTATTGGTAAGTCACTTTTTTCCTTTTCTATCTTAAAAACCTTGGCTTGATTGTGTTTTGATTCATTAAAAGTCTCACTTTTGTTTTTTTTAATTGAATCATACTTTTCCTTCTTTGTTTTTTTTTTTTTTTTTTTTCTGGGCTGGGGTAGGGGTTGTTTGGCTATTTCTAGAGGGATTGAAATTTCAGGGCATGAAAAATTGATTTGAAGTCTGTGAAAATGAATTTAGTAGGTTTTGTGAAATTTGTTTCATGTTATGGATCTGGATTGTTTTTCATGTAGTAGAATGAGTGAGCATTTGTGGGTGTCTTGTTATTTTCTGAGAATAATTGGGTGCTTGGAGTTTATAATTCCATAGAAAGAAGTAGTTTGGTTTATTAGCAACAAAGCATTTTGTGATATTTATTGTGAAGATTGACCATTGACATAGGAAAAATGAAGTAATTTATTGTTCTGCTCTGAGATTGTGATTGACACAAGCATATACAGCACAGGAGCTTTATTAGGGGACCAGTTGATCCCTTCTTATAATGCATACTGTTGTAGTTTTACATTTAATTTGCTGTCCACTGTTGAATATTTGACCAGTAATAATGGTGTCTGAGAGCAAGGGATGAGAGTGATGAGAATTGAGAGGTTGAAAAGAGACATGGAAAGTAAAGTGAGGGCAAATGAGAGATTGTTCTGCTTGTATTCATTTTGCTTTAGGGAAAAAACTTCGTGTACATATTTCTTCTTGGACCTATTATGAAATTGTAGGTAGCATTTTACGTGGAAATTTCATGATATCATTGTGGTCCTACTAATTTTGCTTATGCTTTTTTGCAGCGAAAGAAATTCTATTCAACAACTGAATTGTGTACACATGATGGGGTGTTTCACTGTCCTGAAATACAAGAAGAAAAAGATCAATAAAATCCGATACACAAAATGTGTCAGCCACAATGAACATTTTCCTACAGTACTACCTGAACCTCAAACTCATACTCGTTCCCTGCAGTCTGCACCTCCTAGTTTTAGGAACAGAGTGAAATCTATTCACCCCATTAATAAAGTCACCAATCACAGAGCACGGGCATTATCTGCTCCATCAGCTCTTGATGTGGCTAAACAATATACTCTTACTACAGTAGAGTTCGAGGAACAAGAGGAATCAAGATACGATGTGGGATCGCTGAAGGGGCAGCATTCATCTAGTCCACAACCTTTACCTCTTCCATCACACCAGGGTGGTGGTGAATTGAAAGTTACTACTAGCAGCTTTAAGTCAGGAATAGCTGGTGCTTCTCTGTACGCTCCAGATGCAGCAGAACAGGATGCTTTGGCCTCAGTTGAGGATGAGGAACAAGAGTCTAAACACCTAGTTGGATTGGTGAAGGATCATTCTTCATCTAATTCACAGCCTTTGCCTCTTCCATCTCGTCAGGGTGGTGGTAGTGCATTGAAGGCTAACGTCAGCTTTAAGTCAGGGATGGCTAGTGCTCCTCTATATGCTTACGGACCTTTGCCTCTTCCACCAACTGGGTTGCTTAGAAACTTTCCGCTTGAGGAGATTGCTGCTGCTTGTCACAACTTCTCTTCAGATCGATGCATGTCTGAATGTCTTTCTTCTACCATATATAGCGCTTCATTTGGTGATGATGTTTCAAGTGCAAAGAAGTTTGAAGCCACTGTCATCCGCCTTCATTCATCAGCTCAGGTACTTATCTTCATTCTGATTTATCACTTTCATCTCTTGGTATCGTCATGCCTAGTAGAATGATGACTGGTCATCCTGATAGCTGATGCTTCTATTACAAAATATAGAGAAGTAAAACCTTCTTAACTTAAAATGACTAGAAGTCAATGTTTCATGTGCTTTTTGATAGAAGATTGTTATGCCTTTTGAAAACCATTTTAAGAGAACCATCAAAGAGTGTAAGTTTGTCAACTGGTGTTATCCAGCGTACTAGTTAGTTAGCAGCAGCTTCTAAACCTTGTTCTTCTTGCTGTCGTCCTTCCTATGTTACTTCTCAGGGTACACCTGAACCACTTTGAAATCAAATGAGGAAAGTTGTTAAAGATTTCATTGTTACGGTATCAAACGTAAATATAAATTTTTGTTAGCCTTGCATTTAGAGGTTTATGATTTTTGTCCCTGGACAAAAGTTTGAAAGGAGCTGAAAACTTTCTGACATGGTCTACGTATATGTAATGTCTCTTGCAGGGATTTAAGGAATTCATTACTGATGTTAATATCCTCGCATCTTTGCAACATCCGAACCTCTGTAAATTGCTAGGATTTCATTCACGTGATGATTCTGAATCAAGGATGTTGGTTTATGAGAGGCTATGCCATGGAAGCTTGGACCACCAGTTGTTTGGGAGATCTGATGGCCCTTCAATTGATTGGAACTCGCGAATGAAAGTTGCCATATGTGCTGCACAGGGTCTTATTTTCTTGAATGAAGAAGGGCCTTTCCAGGTAATAAACATTATGTGTTTTAGCTTAATTTGGATGTATGTCGTATATTCAAAACTAAAGCAGCCTTCTGTGGTAATGTCTACACTTTTTTCTTCCCCTTCTCCACTTGTGTTTTTTAGACCTGATTGAATGCTATTGGACTGGAGTTATTGTGTATTCCTATTTCTTAATATTGGAGTGAAAGATTATATCATGAGAATATACTTTTCTATGTTCCTTTAATACATTAAATATTAATTTTGGTTGTACATTTATATCTTTGCTGACGGACCTCTATCAATTAATTGTAGGCAATGTATAATGAATTTTCAGCTGCCAACATACAGATTGACAAAGATTTCAGTGCAAAGCTTTCTGGGTATGGTTGTGTTGGACGAATTCCCGATGAAGAGATTTCAAGTAGTTCATATGTAAGTTATTTACTCTAAAGTGCAGTGTGTCAATTATTACAAATCATGAAATATTCATCTGTTATTTTCTACCTTTGAATCTTCTTATTTGACATGTAACAGCATTCCATAATTTATTATTGTACAGGCTGTTGGAAACCTGTCAGTGGAAACATTGGAAAGAGGAATTCTTACTCCTAAGAGCTATGTTTGGGGTTTTGGAATTATTCTTTTAGAGCTACTTACTGGCAAAAAGAATCTTGATAGTCATCACCCCAAGGAAGAGAGGAACTTGGTCAAGTGGAGCCGGCCTTTTCTGGCGGATGATTTTCGACTATCACTGATTATGGATCCTCAACTTAAAGGTCGCTTTCCTCCCAAAGCAGCAAGAGCAGTAGCTGACATTGCACAAAGATGCCTCCAAAAGGAGCCATCAGAAAGACCCACCATGAGAACCATTGTTGAGCAGCTCAAAGTGGTTCAAGATATGAAGTACTCATGTTGGTTCCCACTGCAAGAGCCTGTAAAACAAATGTCAAGATCACCAAGTCTTAATGGTATCAAATGTCTCACACCTACGTTGAGTTTCTCTCCCTCAACAGCACCAATTGCCAGACCATCTGTTTCATCTCCAAGATGGTGTGCTGTTCCCACGTTGCATCTTCCTCTTGGTGCCTGTTCCTCCATTTTCTGAGTTTGGTGGGCCGAAAAGCCGGAAGTCATCATCCTCAATGTGTAGGAGAGCTAGTGTTGAAGGATATTGACTGTTCATAATGTTCATTTTTATTCTATTATGTTTGTTGTTATTATCATTTTTGGGGTGATTCAACACAATTGTATAGGAGATAAAGTTATGGTTCTTCTTCCATCTTATTTCTCTCAATGAGAGAGATGTTCGTTTGTAGATAGTGCAGAGGATGGTTATACTGGGTCCAATTAGTTATGTATGGCATTGATATTGACATCAAATTTTACATGCCCTCAGATTCTGCTCCTTTCTCCTCTCTACACATTTTTATGTCTGCTCAAACACATTTTCTCCTCTCAACAGTAAACATGGCAAAATGAAAAATATCTGCGGGTGTCTGCCCTACCTATCCCAATTCTGAACTCTAATTTTGATAATGATTACACTTTTTTACAATCACATATAGTTGTACATGTTTGTTTTCATGAATACATGAGATATTAAAAGTTAATTTTTCCACCTAATTGAATTACAACTTGCAATGTATCAATAATTATTACAAATAATCTCTTTATTCCACAAAATTATAATTATTACTTCGAAAGAAATGAATGAATGTCAAATTTAAAAAATTATCTAAAAGAAGCTTAAACGAAACAAAGTGAAACAGAAGTATTTTGAAAGAAATCACATAACTATTACATACATCAACCAGTCACATTAGTTCTGTACAGTACAACATCGGTGAAATGCTTTTCGCACAAACTAACAAACGTAATAGGAAAACAAAAACAGGCGTCCTCTCCCTTCCATATAATATAACAAAAAAGAAGACAAACAATGCTTATTCAGACTTACAAATATACCAAAAAAGGCAGAAAGCGAGGTGTCGTAACACAGCACGGAGGTGCTTTCCTTCGACACATAGCCTCACTAGTTTACAACCCTAAAACACAAGCTTTTATATAAGGTTATTGAGTTTGGAGGAAATTTCTCAAGAAATACAAAGAACCTCGTATAATTTTTTAACTTAAGCAAGATCGATTCTTGTTATAAATAATTTCGGAGTAAAAAAGGAAAATGTAACTATAAGATTTCACGAGTGTGAATTGTTTTGGTCTTTATCTTGCCCACTGTTCTCTTCGGGACTGCTATCCTGCTCATGAATAACTGAAGCAGTACCGCAATCCTCATTGTGTCTTCCCTCACTCTCATTCGTTGTCTGTGCCTGTACATTTGAAGCTAAATTTGTTTCCTGCTCTGATATCAAACTAGTAAGGCCATTTTGCTTCAGGTAGGTCTCCAGCGGGAGATTTGCTTCTTCAAGAAGACTTGTCATGCTCACATTATTTGGCCCAGCTTGCGCTTCCTCCCGGTCAGGTTGGCAATTCAAGTCTAATTGTCCCTTGGCAGCTTCAGCCACATGGTCTTCACTCCTTGAGTCCAACTCATTTGGCGCCCTTACTTCATTCTCCAAACCATCAGCTGGAGTTAAATGTCGTGAGGTACTGTCTACTTCTGATTCGTCCTTGGTCCGCCATGATAACTGATTTCTCTGAGCAATCTCTGCTTCACGTTCGGATTGGCGCTTCTTCTTTCGCATCATCAGGGTTTTAAACCGACGTTTTACTGTCATGCACACATTGCAGGTGCAAGTAGGTTTGTGTTTGCCCTTCCCACTTGGTGGCTGAATACAGACAATGCAGGAACACCCAGGTCTATGCCGGGGATGTTTTGTGGTGGTAACGACTGGTGTCCTGCCAGAGTCACTTGCATCATCTCCAAGTATTGCTGCATTTGCCAAAGCATCCAGTCCCGAAGATTCATGTTCCAGGGCTGGTCTCTGACTTGCTGTCAATCTTTGTTTCTTGAATTCTATTCCAGAATAAATAATTTAAATATATTTGATTTCATCAAGAATTTGTTGACAAGAAAAATATGCCAGCACGCATTCATAATAGTGACATAATCACCATTGATGTCCATACAACATAATTTGGGATTACAAATTTGCCAGTTTCTTGAACTAAGATAACTAAAAAGAGTAAACATACAAGACAAATTAGCAAGATGGAACTCGTTAATACAAGCAACACTGAGTGGTAGCCACTCCATATGACTAATCATTGTTGTCCAGCCCATTTTTGTCGGTCATAAAGTCAGCTTTTTCAATTGGAGGCTCAAGATTAGTTAAAAATGTTCAAAAAGGTACCACATGACATCTAAGTTATTATGTGAATCCCTAGTATGATTGTAAGTTAGGATCCGTATGCCAATCATTGAAAAATAGAAATATAAAATGAATGAGAATTCAATACTTTTAACCATCAAATATCTCAAGCCTCATATGCTTGTCGCTAATTGTCTTATTCCCATTCTAAAACAGCAGTGTTTTTGAAAGAGCTAATATAGGGAGATATTTACAAATTAAACATGAATCAATCATATAAGAGAACATATTATCTTCAACCACAAACCTTAAGACATTAGGTTCGTGATTTTTTCTTATAAGTTACTTAACTTTTTCATTTCTACCTAATATAAGATTTCAACTTATACATATACCTAAGGAAACCAATTTTAACCAGAATACTATTCAAAACATAAAATTTACGAAAGTCATTCATCTGTCTTAAATCGCGAATACAAGTTTGTTGATCAAAAGAAAGTCTATGTAATATCCTGGGAAGTCTTCAGCGTGTTTCAGTACAATTAGTAAACATGAATAGGAAAATACTTGCAGAGAAGCATAAGCTTCATATTGCAAAATTTTAAACAAGAAAACATTTCTAGTTGTATGTATTGGTCAGCAGTAACTAGGAAAGCTTGAAAAATACAAAAAATGGATAAATACCTTTATTCAGCCTCAGGAGATTATCCAATTCCCTTGGGTTCAATTCATTGGGAGCAGCACATGAACACCTGTTGACAGCAATGCAGAAGCATGAAGGTCTTAACTAATAAGTATTGGTACTAATAGCATAGCAGTATTGCACCATAAGGTCTTCTGCTCACCTGCTCTGATCCCATAAATTCTCCACACATGTCCACTTAGGGGGAATTAGTACATCAACTGGCAACTTCCGCCATTTGGAGCAACTATCACACTGCGTCCACTGCTCATTTATCCTGAATCACACTCCAAATTGAAATACTCAATAAAAAAATACAAGTTTCTGCATTGGTGTAACTTCTAAAAGAAATCATATAGTTCAAAAGAAAATAATAAAATAGGAGACACCGTAAGAGAGGAAAAACGTCACACAAGCAAATAAAATAGAAAAAAACTCTAATGCACATATTGATCTTACCCAGCTGATCGAACTACGAATATACTCCTCTTTCCAAAGACAGGAGGTTCCTGCATGAATTGAAAAGCAATATCTTAACAGGTTATATATTAAACTTTACTGTTATTTACTAAGCATACTAATTGAGATAATAGTGAAGCTGAGTTGCTAGCCCTAGTAATTGTTTAGTATCATGACATAATTAATGCAAACAAAGTCAATTTTTCTTATAAAAGGAGAGTGTTAAAGAGTTCCCTTACGAAACAAATTCAATGAAAAGAAAATACTTATTATTTTAAAAATAAAATAAAAATATTTTACATTTTCTATTTTAAGTAATTGAAAGCATATAATAAAGGATATTAAAGTTTCTTAATCAGTGTCTTTAAGACACTCGTCTGCAAATTGAACACATAAATTAAATCACGGACCTAATCATGCCTTCATTTTTTTTTTTGTTGCTCATTCCCTACCCATTTACTAGTATCGTTGCTATCCATAACATGCGCTAAAATCAAAGACTTTATATAACCTGAAACTAGAGTATTTTAACTAGTACAAACCAGATGCCTGTTTAAACAAATTTCGGAAATTGCAAATATCAGGATAAGTCATATTTTCTTCTTTATTAGACTCACCTAGACAGAATATGTTTAGGACAAGATGAATGCATTAAGAAACTCATTACAATGAAAGGCTCATGCATATTTACTTGGGTCAAAATTAGTGTCTGATTTAAATATAGCAGACACCAAAAATATCAATTTAACCTCTCTCACGCACACTAATAGAAAGGGTTAATTTCATAAAGATTACAGCTTCTTCTAAATTATTTACTTACTTCATATTCTTCAAAAACGTGATCCTCAATCATGACAATGCTTGGCTTAACAGTAGGAGGAGGTCGGAGCAAATCCTGAGCCTCTTCCCAGGTAAGTTTCAGCTCCAGTGCATCCTGGCTATCAATAAGCAACCTCTTACTTTTTGACCCAATATTCCGAGTTCTTTTCTTATCAGGAACCAGCACAGGTGGCAAAGGCAACCCCTCTCTTTTCCTGCTTTCTGGCATGTCAATGTTATGCCAATTCATGTCACCACCAGCAGAGTTCCATTTTTTAGACAGCGGATTTAGGTGGGTTTCTGAACATCCCTTTTGTGACTGAAGAAGGCCAGAGTAACCACTTAATATAGGTAGATTCTCATAAACACCAGAATAGGAAGTTTCACTTGAATGAGAACCATTGGGCATATTAGATGGTAGTGTTTCCTGCTTAATAGGTGATTAAATACCAATTCTGGAAGTTTGAGTTTTCTATATGAACTAAAAGTGACTGTTACCTGTACTGCTGTAGAACTTGTTGCCTTTCTAAACCCCATTATAAGTTTCCCCTCAGGGTCCATACGGCTAAATGTTACTGCAGAAATTGTAGAAAAAAAGATTACAAGTTTTTTGTAACCAAATTTCAAGATGGAACTAAAATAAAAACAGAAGCAACCACAAGTTGACATATAAACATAGCAATGGTACAGAAATCAGTAGTTTTTCAATGAAGAGAACCAATCAAATAAATCCCCAAAAACATCAGCAACATTTTGGCCATGGTGCTTTGTCCAAGGAAAAAATCAGTGGAAGTTACACAAACTTCATACACTTTCAGAGCATAAAATTAACACAGAATGTCTTTTAGGTATGGTTATTGACTAGTTACCACATTGAATGAAAAATTTACAGAGATTCTTAGAACATGATATTGATTATTCAACACCTTTTTTTTCTAAAAGACAAGTATTTGGCATAATCTTAGAAAATGAAAGTTTCCATGTGGTTCATCTATTATTAGAATGGGTAATTTAACAAATTAAGGGATTCCCAGTAAAATATACCGGTATCTCCAGCTTGCAATTGCATAGACTGAATGCAGGGGGTTACGCCTTCTAAAACATACATCCTGCTGTTATTATTTGGCCAAAATCTAAATTGAAACATCCATTCTTTTCCTTTCACATCTTGAATTCGTAAGGGAAGGCCCTCAGGTTGAGAGATTGGAGGGAAATATGCCTGCATAATTATTAGTGCTATCAAATTACAAGACTGGTCAAGAAAAGTAACTTTCAGTGGAATTATTAGTTCATATAAAGTGACAAATTAGACTGTTTAACAGATGAGTTTGGATAAATTACTTCGGCACATGCTTTTGGTAAAACCAGGCGACCAATTCGACCAGCATCACTTGCGCTAAGCATCTTTTCAAAGAGTGGCACGATGGTGGAATTTGAACTTGAACATATCATGAATCATGGTTAAGGAAATACTAAGGTAAAGAGTAACTATAAAAACAATAATAATTTAATCAACCTCCATAAGCATTTTGCCAGTGATTAATAATTTATAGAACTAATTACAATGTTGGATACTCTCCTGATATTTGTTGCAATTCTTGATCAGTAATCCTAGGCCAATAACGTGGAAGCAACTGATTCCTTCCGCGTCCTTCAGCAGGTGGCCTTGCTACACGAATCTGGGATACCATGCCAGCATTTACTTCTAAGCCTGTGCCAATAGTTGACCTAGGGGGCTTAGGTAAAAGATGGCGAGACCTCGACCCCAATAAAAGTGGAGATGTTTTACTTTGTTCCCTTTCATCAACAACAGAACTATGAAAAGGGTTTGAGTTTCCTAAAGGAGTAGCAAGGGTCATACTTAAATATATATCTCGCATTTCTGTGTTTGTCTTACAACTCTCTGCTTTGGAAGCCTTGGATGATCCATTAGACTCATAATGAAATTGTGATATCAAAGTGCTTCCAAGTTCTTCGACAGAAGGCAAAATTTCTGGTTTTATTTCTGTAGAAGGCCCATCTGTTTCAACATTAGGAGGTTTGAACCAGCATCGGAGGCCATCATTCTCTGCAAAATGCCCTACTTGCATACTCCTCAGATTTAATTGGTTAGCCAGAGCAGTGCACTGCTGTGCACTGACATTTATTACCTTTGATGTCACGGATCCATTAGGCTTTTCATTGCTTGCAGTCTGTCAATTACCATTGTAAATTAAGGGAGCATACTGTTAGAATTGAAAATTATCAACACAAATAATCACACATCTAAGAAGCAAAACCTATTTATGAAAAGCACAGATTTGAATTGCAGAGCTTGCATAACAAAGTTTTTATTTGTTCTCTAGATCATACAACACTCAATTTACCTCTAAATGCTAATCAATAAATTAACATCAACCTCAGGATGATACAATTTTCATTTGAAATTAATCTGAAAATTAAGGCCTTCTATCTAACATTCTACACACTGATTCATTTGAGGGAATTGTGAAAATCAATAAAAGAACCATATTTTCATGTATTTGCAAAGTGAACATAAATGGTTATTCAAATAAAATGGTGAAGTTATTTTACATGTTGAAGTCCAGAATTCCTTACACATCTTATACAGCTTACACCACCAGTATCTAATAATTCAAGCTGAGACATAGAAGCAATGCATCCACAATGAAGACGCTGCAGATAAAAGAACACATAGGATCATTAAGCTTAACATAGCCCCGGAAGTACCAAAATTAGGCTGCAAAAAGTTATGCCAGTCTTGTATATACTCTGACTATGCACCCAAATACAAATATTTATGCACTCTACCTTGTCACATGAAGTGCATTCTCTCCAACCAGAATCATTTGAGTGGAAAATATCACAGTATGTTAATTGCTCATAAGCAGAACTGCAGCAGTGAAAAAATCCGGAGTAAGAATCTGAGCATGAATTTGTCTCTTGGCGATGTCCAATTTCAATAAAACAAAATAAAAAGGTTTGCATCGAAGCCAATACTTTCCAAAGGACACATGCTATCAAGATGACAATGTTTACACCTTATGGAATTCATGTTTGAAAATGAAAAATTGAAAGAGCAATTTTGTATGAAAACTTTGTGAAATAAAATGGTGGAAGCATATGCATTATTTTCAATAATTTATTATGAAGTTATCATATGATGTGATCTTATATTCTTTCCATGTTTCCTAAACAGAATTATTTTAGGCACTGTTAAAATTCAACATGATTTTGACAGAAAATATTCAGCCAGATGAATCCTTATTCCTCTGTATGTCACAGAAGATTTATATTCGGACAATCTACTTATACCATGTTTTTCTTTACTTTGAAAATTTTATCCCATTTTTCAGGAAATTTATGCTACCTTGCATTTATTAAAAGAAAAAAAAAAAACTGGTCATTTAATAAGAAAATTAAGGAAAATTAACACGGTAAATGATATACACATTCCATAAACAACATCATAAGTTGTGGTCTCTGGTCAGCAGTCATAATTAAGATTGGGCGACCCAATTTTACCTACGACAACTTCGACCACTCACCTCATAAGTAAAAAAAGAAAAAATAAAAGGGCAAAACATAAAAGCGTGTAAACGCCACTACACTAACTTTAGAAAATCCGCAGGCCAAAGAAGAAAAAGGTAACCACAGGTCAAATTATGAAAGAGTATAATTGGGAAAAAAAATTGACACTCTTCACAATAAGCATTCATTCAAGAATTTCCTTTAATAATAGAATATTAGTTTTAAATTATTTTTATTTTCATAAACTCATTTTCATGATTATTACATGAATAAAATGTTGAGTTATTAATACATCGGCTCTTTATGATTAGTAACTTCATATTAAACTTAAAAGTAAAAAAAAGAAAAAAAAAGTCGCAAATTACTCCAAAATTCTAATCCACTGTTGTGTTCCGTACAACCACGTATCAACTCACGCGTTAGTTTCAACCCACGCGTACCGATCGATTCGAAATCTAGAGTATCATTACCCGCAGTTATCGCAAAGATCGGCGAATTCGCCGGATCGCAGGGGCCAGCCTTTGCGCCACCGAATCGTCGTCAAAGTAGCGCACGCCACGTTCATGCAGCTCCTTGACTCCATTTTCAACTCCAATTCCACGCGCTCTGCAGCACACAACAAAAACCCGAAAAATCAAATGAAAAACCCTAACTGTCACTTCTCCGACTCGCTCGACGCCGGACGCGAAATCCGGCGACGGAGAAAAGACCGTACCAAAATTAAGCCCGAGAGTGAAACTCGAGCAGCCGCTCCGCGTCGCCGGAAGATCGCGAGGAGAAGTTCCGGTCACCGGAAATCTCTACGAAGTGTAGACACCGCGAGTGGTGAGGTTTGGGATTCGCATTCACGTGAAGGAGCGGTGGCCAATATGATCGAAAGGTTGTTGGAATCTGGGGGCAGGAGAGGAACCGGAGAGAGATTTGTATGGACGGTAACCGGAGAGAGAATAAGAGAAGGAGAAACGGAGAGAGAAAGGAAGCGTGTGCATGCAGAATAAGAAAGAAGAAAGAAAGAGGTACCAAAATGCATGCACGATGATTATACTTCAAGACTCTGCCAACTCCCCCACTTGCTACTTCTTTTTTTAATTTTTAATTTATCATCATTATTAGAATTATTAGTCTTTTTTAATCTTTTATTATTATCAATATCATTGTGGTTGGTTGGTTATACTTATTCATCCATTTTGTTGTGTTTTTTTTTTATATATATAATATCTAGTATATTAACTAATCACTCGTAGTTGTCAATCTATTTTTAAATATTGTCTTTATATTTATTTATAAATTATTTATTAGACTAAGATTATAAGGCAAATAGTTTAATTAAAAATAAAAAAATTCCCCATGTCATATACAACCTAAATTGTTAAGTGTATGTCAAGGGTTGTATTTTTTTAAAATTAAAAATTATAACTTTTTTATCATAAATATAGTTTGAATACGACTTTGAATCATTTCTATATGTATAATTTTCTTATTTTTTGAAATATATTAATGTGGGAAAAAAAGTTTCTTAACTGGGTAATAATAATATTTTTGTCTCCAAAATAACGTAGAATAGAACACAGAAAAGCATAAACTGAACCATGGGAATTTGCACATGAAGTTTCTTTTTTATGATTTTTTCGATATAAGGGCCAGAGGGCAAATGAAGCTTTTATTTGTCTTATTGCTATTGAGAGGACTTGTGTTCTAGGCGTCAGAATAAGTGGAAAAGATGTGTGTTTTTTAGGCAAATTAGTTTGAGAAATATTAAATTAAACCCTAATTAAAATTCATAATTATTTATTTTTTATTTGATATTAGTTTGTTTTCTTCTTTCAATTATTTTACATATTAATGCGCAGAAATACAGCGTGCAACGGGGAAAATGCGACTGCGAGAGAGCCCCTAAAATGCGCCACTCAAATACGGTTTCTTTTGGCGTAATTACGATAGTACCCTCTAGCAGCGATGCAAAGGAATGCTACTCACCGGTGAACAAGGTGTGTCCTTTTTGGTCCATCCGTATAATTTCAATTTCAATGTGGACCCGATTTAACATAACATAATAAATTGAATCAAGTAATGCAGGTAAAGTAATGTATTGTCAATCATGAATCACTCTCAGCTATGCTGTTGGAATAGATAGTGCAGGATTTAAAATTGATGTACACAAATTTATTATTTTTCATAAATGTGAATTTGTGAATGAGTGAGATTTTTAATCATATTTTGGAAATCATTGAAATAGAAGTTATGAAGCGAAGGAGTAATGTGATGACGAGGAAGGAAGGGAGCGTGACGCAAGGGGAATGAAGGTCGAGTGGACGGGTAAAGGACAATGACAGAACCGTCTCCATCCATCTGAGAAAGGTCGTAGTGACGGTGCCTGCCACGCGTGTTCGCTTCGCTCTGCTGCTGTTCTCTCTGTGTGGCTGCGCACACACAACCTTTAAGATTTTAACATAATATGGTATAATAAATTTATTTACACTTATAATTATTTAAAGAAATTAAATAATATAAAGAAGGAAGATTTATAATTTAAGATTTTATTTTATTTTTTATGTAAAGTTTTTTTTTTTATCGAAAGTGCTATAAAAATTAAGTATTATATAGAATAATGTGTGTAATTTGTTATAATGTTAAATTATATAAAATACAATGTACTTTTTGCGCATGACCTAACATTCGTATGGATCATGTAACGTGCATCCAAAATATCTCGTGGATTTTATATGTCAATGCTGGTGGATTTTATAATGGTGACACTTTACTCTTATTGGCCCTTGATAGTTTTTTGTTTTTTTCCTCAACGTTGTGTTACTTGCAATGTCAAAGCATGCATTTCTTAAATTCAACGCTGAAACAAATCACAACTAAGACTATTTTCTTTCTTTCTTTCACAATATATATGATGATAAATAAAGAATTGTAAATTTCACTCTTTAGTCCTTTCTTAGAAATTTTTATAAATGAAACTTTCTAATCATAAAATAGTGATTACAATATTGTGAGTGATGATAAATTTACAATTTGGTTTAATTTTTATTAAATAATTATTTACATTTCAAAAAAAATAGTTATAATTAAATTTTATTTAGTTTTAATTTAATATAAAATGTAAATCAAGTTAAACTAATATTTTATTTTGATTTAATTTTAAGGTTTTTACTACTGTAAAGTTTTTAAATATTCAAAAAATATATAAAACATTTTTAAAAAATTATATATTGTATTAAAACAATTATAAAATAAAATGTTTACTTCAATTCTTATTATATTTAAAATGTTAATTTTATTTTATATTTACGAATAAATTACATAATTTTATAATTGTAAGTTATAATATAACTTTATTATAATATTTGGATGAATAAAAAAATATATAATTAGACAATAATATTTTTATAACAAATTTATTCAAGTAGGAGTATTAATCAAAAATTAATTCTAAAATATGAAATTATATTTAAATATATTAAATGATTTGGTTTATTTGGTTGAATTCTTATTTTTAATTTAAAATCTGATAAAATATTAAATGTATAAAATAAATATTTTTTATTTTTGTCAATTTCAATTATTTTTAAAGGATTCAATTTTAAATACTCATATTTATATTTTATACGAAAGAAAAAAAAATATATATATATATATATATATATATATATATATTATGATTAATATATAGAGTTAATATAAAATATAAATATGATATGATGATTAATATATACAGTTAATAATAATTTTTTTAAAGGATAAAATTATTAATATATTATAATTTTCTTTTAAAGTTATCAATTTGGTGTAAATTTATTGAAAACTATGGATAATGAGTAAGTCCAGCTATATAGCTCCACTTTAAGATACAAGAATCAAGTTACCTTACTCTATATTTTTTTTATTTACGGTTATCTATATATTTATATTAATTATAAAACAATAATATATATTTTAGGATCTTACACATTTATAATATATTCTAATTATATGATATTATATATTTTAATTATAATAATATAATATAATTTTTTATTAATCATTTTTTAATATTACAAAATGTATAAGTAAAAAGTTAAAATTATAACAATAGTTAAAAAAATATATATTAATATTAAACGTGAAATATACTATAATATTATTGTCTATTCGGATAATTACTACGATTATGATTATTACTATAATAAAATGAATATTTTTTTGACTTATTTGGGTTTGACTTATGCATTTCATTATAGATGCGTCTTGTCAGTAAACCTTCCTGGTTGTTCAGAATGAAATTTGAACCGGTATAAGGAGATCAATAATCTTTATTTTTTTATTAGATTAAATTGATGTTGATAAGCTTTGGAAATGTTGTCTCACTTGTATACTAGATCAATATATATACCAATTTACAAATGACATGAACACACAACAAAAGACATGTGACTAGGGTAGTCAGGGAGCTTGAAACTCTCCACACTCACACAACCAATCATGCAATCTAACTATATACCTTTATGCTTGCCCCCATGTTGTGGGTTTGATAATTCTTGTACTTCAAATTCACCATTTTTCCCATTGTATCTTTACACATGACACATGTCAGCTCATTATTTATATTCTCTAAGCAAGACAACAATTTCTTCTGGGTACTTGTGCCCTCCTCGTAACATGACATGCACTTTCATGCCATATTTGACAAACCACGATTTTATTCTTTCAAATGTAGGGATGGCAAAACGGGCCAGCCCGCCCCGTTTTGGCCCGCCCCCGCCTTTGGCCCGCTAAAAGCAGGGCGGGGCGGGCTGGCCCGATATAGTCATGACGGGCTGTAGACCTTGGCCCGCCTCGCCAAGTGGCTGTGCAGGCTGGCCCACCATAATTTAGAAAAAAATAATTTTTTTTAAATAAATTTGTTTAATAAATTTAATAATAAAATTATTATTTATTTATCAATAATTCAATATATATATATATATATATATATATTATTTCAATTTAATAATATAAATCAATACATTATTTTAAGAAATTATAATTTAGAACAATAATAAAATTTACATAATAATAAATAATAACAAATATATATATATATATATAAATAACGTTAAACTTATAAAAATTATATTTTTTATATTGAAAATTTTAAATACCTATATTTTTTTTATTTGATAAAACTTCATGTTATTCTTGGTTGAGTAATTCTTACACCTTTAATTCAAGTAATAAGGATAAAAATAATCAATGTTTAAGATAAACAAGGAGAACGAGGAGAGAAGGTTATGTTTCGGGGAGGAGAATATTTTCACGTGAGAATGAAACTTTTTAATTCTCTTTTTAAAATTTTTAACTTTATATATTATCTTTATAATTAATTTTATTATAATAAAAAATTATTTTTTTATTAATTAGGCGTGGCGCGTGGCACGTCCAGATCCCGCGGTTGGCCAGACGGGTTGACGGGTTTGGCGGGCGGGCCAAAGCGGGCTGGTGGCTGAAAACATCAACCTGCCCGCCATATTATGGTGGGTTGGCGAGCCTGGCCACGGGCCTAACCCGTTTTGTCATCCCTATTCAAATGTAGTTTTCATTAAGGCACATATTGGTAAGTTTCGTGCTCCATTTAAAACAGAGTTCATGCACTCTGTTAAATTAGTGGTTGATAACAACATTTTAGTCTCAAAATACTGATAAAAATAATAAAGAAGTTGTTAAACTAATGCATTATAACTAACCCGTATTGAATCTCATAAGAACATAATTATAGAAACGTACTTATTACCACATATCATTCTCTCTAAAAACGATAAATAATAGTAAATATCATTCTCTCTAAAAACAATAAATAATAGTAAATAGGGGGATGAATGAAAAAGTGAAAAAGGTATAAATTGATGCGAGAATAATAAAAGTTAAAATCAAAATCAAATTGTTATAGAATATTAACAATAATTAAAATTAAATTGAAGTCGAATTTAAATAACTGAAGTTTATAAATTTAAAATAAAGTGTTTTTAATTAAAAGTGCAAAATAAAAAATCACTTTAAAATAAAATAACAGAGTAATTAAAATTAAATTAAAGCAAAGTTTAAATAACTAAAAATTATAAAATTAAAATAAAGTGTTTATAATTAAAAATACAAGAATACAATATTGCTTTAAAATAAAATAGTGCAGTAATTAAATTTAAAATTTCTGAAAATGATAACTTTAAAACTAAATTAAGAATTGAAATTGGAAAAGAGATTAATTGAAAATGAAAATTAAGTACTACTAGAATAAAATAAAAATTATAAGTAATTAAATAACAAAAATTAAAATGAGCACTAAATGCATAAAGTAAATAAAACAATATAATTTGAAAAAATCAATAGAAATTGCAAATTAAATAAAAGAAAACAAATGGCACGTGCAGTAGCAATCGATGAACTCGTCTAACTAAAAACTGAGAATGGGAAAAGAAAATGGGGACGAGACAAAACAACATTTCTCATCTCAGAGTAAGAGATTATGACTGTGTTGTCATAAGATATTTTTCAAATAAAAAAATTACAAAATTAGATTACTATGAAGAGAAATTTCTGGACTGATTTGGAGAAAATAATTTATTTTTTTCCTATTTTGAGTGATCGAGCACTGATTTGCATTTAATTCTTGATTTTTGTTAGTCTTTAATTAAGCTAAATTGGATTCATGCACCAATTAATTTGTTTGATTCAAAATCTTCATTTGTAACGTTCTGCAAGTGGTTGCATAAACAAACTTGGGCTTTCGAGAAGAGTGAAGTTTAATGACATTAATTTGGATATTTTTTTTCATCAATTTGACCCATCTCAAATTATCTCTCCTACAAAAGAAGAAAAATAAATATGCATTGTAAATGTATGCATGTATATTATTTATTATGCTAAAACTATGAAAAATGCAACAATTTAAGGAAAATTGACTTATACTATGTTTTTAATGAAAAAAAGTTAAATACATAATTTATGAAAAAAATAATTAGCTTAGAAAATACTCTTAGATCAAGAAATAAAGAATAAAATGACATACATCAGTGATCATATGGTCATATCTTTTTCTTCCATCATATGCTTTGTGTCCATTTTTCTCATGGAATTTGATCTAACCAAGAAGCAACTTGTTGAAATTCTAACCTGATAACAAATAATTTTGCAAAAAGTCGTGATTGTTTCATCTCATATGCTGAAAAAAAAAAAACCAAAAAGGTTAATAAATATAAAAATTATAATGACATATAAAAAAAATAAAGGTGTATACATATTATTCATATTAATTATATGTCTTTTCAACTGCACATTATTGAACTTTTTGTTAAAGTTTGAAATTATATGTCAAATGGGGTATTCTAATTGATTTGAGTCTCATTCAACCTATTGAGATTGTAATGCTTATAATATTGTTGTTCTTCTATATGTTATGATGTATAAGTTTGGTTGAGATGTGACATATTGTTTTAGCAACTAGAAGAACCAAATCAAAGAATTTTTTGTCTTCCCTTCAATCATTACAAAATGCTAATAAAAATAAATTTTGATTTCCATCTTGTGCAATTGTTATCAATAAAGTTCTATGATATTTTTTAGTTAAGAAAGTCCTGTCAACTTGAATGACAGACTTGCAATAGTTGAATCATTCAATACATGACTTGAAGGAACAAAAAACTCTTTGAAGAATGTAATATGATGGATCTACTCTTCTATCTATTAAAGAAGGATTACCCATATATTAGACAATTGTGTCACGAAGAGTTTCTTGAACAGCTTGGAACCATCTGGGAAGATGGTTGTATGCTTCTTCCCAATCACCAAAAGTCATAACAAGTGCTTTATGTTTCCCTATCCCGACTTTTCTATAGCTAATAGAATAATCATGACGACTTTTTATTTCTATAACCAAAGTTTTTATAGGAACAAAAACATTTACTTTAACCAATTCATAAATAATATGAGCAATTTCATTGGAGTCTAGATTTTGATGATTAATAGATAACACACTAGACATGCATGTATGATTTGTTTCAATTTTTTATCTCTCATTATTGTCGAATTTTACTCAGTAATGCTATGAGTCTCTATTGTCACTCATTCCCATAATGGATACATAAAAAACATATCTATCTGATTTTGACTTAACTACACAATATCTATAACATTGCTCAATATGAAAATGCTTAATTGTACTTAAAAAGTTACAAGATTGTACTTGTTAGTCACTACTTTTGATGAAGGGATGATCCAGAGTATCATATTCTTCATAAACATATACATCATCATCTTTTTCATCAAAATCATTAATAAATCTATCCAACATATTAATTAAATGGTACTGAAATGCAACCAATATAAAATCTATCCATTTAGCAAAATATATAAAGATACAGATTGTATTTCTCTTAATATTTTTCACTCTCATGCATTAAATTACCAAGACCACATACCTATAGTAAAATAACAAAGTCATTCCATATGAGACGACTTGCGTATGTGGTCAAAGAATAAAAAATGAAGTAGTATCAACTTAGACGAATTTCTTAAGCAAAATCAATTAACTCAGAAAACTTCACAATAAAGTCATGCCACCTGAAACAACTTCGACCTGAATTCAAGCTATGGTCAAAGTGAAATCATGACGATTTACGAGTACTACTAGAAAAATAGTTAATAATGACCGAAAAATTCAGTTACTAATAGTAACTGAATCAGTAACTGATTTTTCTTTTTATATTTAGTGACTAAAATTTCGGTCACAAAAATCGTTCATCTGAATCGGTCATTGAATCGGTCACTGATTCGATCACTACTAAAAAAATGGTTAATAGTGATCGAAATTAGTGACTAAAAAATTTAGTTACTAATAGTAATCGAATCGAGTGACTCGATTTCTCTTTTTATATTTAGTGACTAAAATTTCAATCATTAAACAAATAATCTGTAAATGGGCCACTATTTTTCATTTATATAAATATTTTTTAAAAATATTTTAATAATATGTTAAATATAAATCTACTTAATAATTTAAAATAATTGATAACATTTTTAATAACATTATAAAAATTTTAAAAAATAGTTTACTAACTTATTAAATAATTTAGTAATATAATTATTTAATTTTTTTTTAATTTAGTATGTGAATAAAAAAATTAAAATTGATTATTAAATTAGTCATCGAATCGACCGATTCGATCATCAATTCGATCATTGATTCGATCACCAATTCAATTCTTGAATCGATCACTAAATCAATCATTAAATTAATTATTAATTTAGTCTCTTTTATATATAATCAATGATTAAATTAATTATTAATTTATTCTCTTTATATATATATATATTACTTGTTAATAAAGATGTATTCTAATGTATTTATAAAAAAAATAAAATTATTTTAATTACTTGAATTGATATTTTAAATTTATATTAATATTAGATAATTTAATAGTTAGATAAATATTTTAAATTTATATTAGTCATTTTTATATAAAAGTGTAAAGATTAAGGGAACTTATTTTAAAATTTAATTAAACATAATAATATAATATAATATTAATCATAAATATGTGAAGATTTAATTAGAAATTAATTTTAAATTTTATCATTTTTATTTGAAAAATATTGATAAAAAAATTCAAAATAATTAATTAAAATAAAGAATTTTAATTTAATAAATATGTTAATATTATCAGTTATTGGAGAATTAAATTTATAATAATAATTATATAAAATTATAGAATTAATAAATTTTAAATTATTAGTAATTTTTTAATTATGAAGCTAAAATTTGATAATATTAATAAATTAAAAATAAATAAATTTATATATATCGCTTTATTTATTTTAATTAAAATTAATTTCATGAAAAAAACTAATATTTAAAAATAAAAATGTTAAAGTATATATTTTTTCTTTTATTTAATTATACTTTTTTATTTTTTATTTTTTAGGTTTTAGCCCATCAGTTATCCTAATTTTAGTTTAACCTAAAAATCATATCTTCCACCCTAATACAAATCAAATTTTCTCAAATTATCACACTATTAAACCATTGTACCTTCATTCCTCATTGCCTAGCCACTCTAACCAACCTACCACCCAACTATACCCATCGCACCACCTTATTATACTCGCAACCATCCATCTCACCCTAGCTCACCGTCACCACCGCATCATCCATCATTCCTCTTTTTCTTGTCCTTGCTCCTCTGCACCCTAAACAACTAACATTCACCCCATTTCCAATTAACTCATTCTCCCCACCCTCAGCACTCAATTTTGTCCAGATAGATAAAAATAAAATAATGATAATGAATAACATTATTTATTCTTAAAATATGAAAAAAATGGTTAAAAAGATAAAAAAAATAATGGTTTAAAATAAGATTTTAATTATTAAAGAATTAAATTTATAATAATTATTATATAAAATTATAGAATTCAGATTTGGAGTACCACGTACAGCCCCACTCCCATTTTCAGCCTCATAACCCTAACCCTCGTTTTTCTCTCCGCCGCAGCCTCCATCCTCAGCTCTCGCCATCTCCTTCAACCCTACTCCTCACCTCCATTTCCCATTCCCAGCCACTCACCTACGAGAAGAACCCTCTCTTTTTCCCTGCATTTTGTCTCACCTCACTTCCAAGCTCAACCCGCGCACCCCACCACCGTCCTCCGTGCCCTCACCCATTTCTTCTCCATCCCGAGCCAAACCTCTCTCCCTGATTCAAGTAGCTACATCCCAGCATCCCCTAACTTCACATTTGGCCAAGCAGCTTCCGTGAGTACCCACGACCACCATCGCCCCGTGAAATGCCGATGTAGAGCCCTCCGTTTGGGTCACTGTGTCGTGCCTCCACCTTCACCGCGCCCCGCTCACCTCACCCGCGGTCCCCTCCATCTTGAGTCACTGCACTACCTCAACGGCCTCCTCCCTGATCCCTTGATAGATATATTTTTACTCATTCTTTTATGTTTGGTTTATAGTATTTTAGGCTAGTGGTGTTAATGTTATTTTGTTATTTTTAGATTTGTTTTGATTTAATAAGTCAATTTAGACATTAGTTCTTATTTTTAGTTAATTTTCGTATTTTTCCAGTTTTGTACCGTTTTCTTGTGCAGGCCATATCTGAAGCAACAAACGAATTTGGACGTTCTTGGTGTCGTTGGAAAGATAACAAAAAGATCTGAAACTTCTCTGTTGGACGAAAGAGCATCTTCTATTAAACAAAGGAGATCTAGAGGGGATACACAAATTAAAATAGATATCAAATTAAAAATTTAGTTGTGAGTCAATAATTTATTTGAACATGAAAACGATAATATAATCAGTAAAAGATAAAGAGATAAGGAAAAAAAAGAAGAGCACATAATAATTTATACTGGTTCGGGTATAACCAATCATACATCCAGTTTCCAGTCAACTCTAATCACAAGAGTGACTCTCAATTCACTATCTTAAATTCAGTTTACAAATTATAATCAACTCAGCAGAAGAATCAGTAAAAAGTAAACTAATTAAAAAGAAAATCACCTCCTTAGAAACTCACTAAGGATGAACACCTCCCTCGAATCCCACTAGGGATGAACACCTCTTCTGAACAAATCAAAGGATGAAAAACACCTCCTTAGAATCTCACTAAGGATGAAGGAGTAAGATAAGAACAGTCACACCTGGGTAATGGAGACAACAAATTGTAGAAGCCTGTAGAATGTCAATCTCCAAGAACAAATGTGATTAACAATAAAAGCACAAAAGGCAACAAATTGTAGAAGCCTGTAGAATGTCAATTTCAAGAACAAGTGTGATTAACAATAAAAGCACAGAAGGCAGTAGAGAAGAGGATTTTCTCGAAGGTATAAAATATCTTTGTTGCCTTGCTCAGAATTCTTTTCTGAAAACTAATTGAATGTAAATTGTATTTTCGAATTTTGTAATTGTGTGTTTTTTTATTTTTCATCAAAACTTAATTAAATAGAAAAATAACATCAAAAAATGGCTGTTGGACATTAATATTTTTGTGAATAAAAATCAGGATATATTTAAAAACATTTATTCTTCAAAATAGATATATTTTTCAAATTTGAATTGTCATAATTGATTATGTTACCAGTATAATCAATTATGACAGAGAAAATCATTTTTCCATTTCTGATGCATCATAATTGATTATGACAGTGAAAAATATCATGTTATGAATTTTATTACACTTGTGCTTTGGAGGCTTATGCATAATATTACTTCATCAACTTGTACCTCCATATCCAGTATTCTAAGACGCTATCTAGTCTTCAGGAATCATCTTGGGTTTGCTTGAATCATCATCTTTATCAAAAACATATCTTGGGCATGTAGGGAAATGTTTCACATTGTCACCAACGTCTTAAATTCAGCTTGTCCTTAATTCATCTTGAATGATGTTGACTTGAATCATCATCAAAATCATCTCTTGGGAATGTAGGGACATTTCCATCAATCTCCCCCTCATTACTTTCAATCTCCCTCTTTTTGATGATGATCAAGGAAACATCTGAAATGAATTAAAATGCATGAATCTATATAACCAGCTCAAGATTAGCACAGTATAGTATAACACAGATTAACACAGATTTGTATCAAGTGTCAGAATCTCTTAATCTCCCCCTGGATATATTAATAACAAGACTCCCCCTAACTCATATGAGCAAAGACTTCTCTTAACTCCCCTTGTTTAATTTATAGATAGGAATGAATTTCACACAAATTTTAATTCATCAAAAAATATCCCCCTGTTTCATTGATAATCATAAAAAATATTATAAGAGAAAAAATTTCCCCCTGTTTCACACAGATTAATATCATCAAAATATTTCCCTGTTTCATTGATAATTATGAAAAATATTGCAATAGAAATTGAGAACAAATTTGCACATATTAGTACATAAATAAAGGTAAAGAAGATAATGCATTACAAGTGTCATAGAGAAGAACATCATATTAAGGAGGCAATATCTAGGATACCCAAGTCAAATGAAGAGAGAGAAAAATAGGGGAATAGAATAATTGTAGAAATAATGAAATGAAATGCAGTAGTTTCCCCCAATTGCAGTTTTCTTATTTAGGCAGCTTTCAAATTCAAATTCACTCATATTCCAGATTTCAAATTTCAAATTCAAATTCCAACAAATTCCAAATTTCAAAAACAAATTTCTAATCCCAAATTTCAAATTTCAAATTTCAAAATCTCAAACTACAAAATTTAAAAAAAAAATCTCAAACTGCAAAATTTCAAATTTCAAGAATCTCAAACTGCAAAATTTCAAACTTTAATAATTTCAAATTTTCATAAATTCAAAATTCAAACTTTCAAATTTCAAAGTTGGTCAACAATCAAATTTATGTGACAGATAAGTGCAGATATTCAATATAGAGGCTTGAGAGACAATCATAAACTTATCTTTGTAATATTTCCCTATTCTTCTAACTTGTTCATGTACACCCATTTAGCTTCAATAACCTGCATTAATTTATTATCCTTGATAATTACCTGCAACATCAACATACAAATCTGGGTACCCTTTAATTATTTTTGGGTCCTTAAAAAGGTTAGTAGAATCACAAGTCTCTGCCAAAAGACTAAGGATTAAAAGAATATAACCATGATATAATAATCGATTATCACAACACCTTCAAAATCAACATAATTGATTATGACAACAAGAAAAAAATTTCCGATTCTGATAATCAATTAGATGCTCAAACTATCATCTAAATATGTACAAATGCTTTGTTCCTTTAGACACCCATTCATATTTGCCATTAGATATGCCAAAATGTTTTATGTAACATCTATTTGATGTATGACCTATTTTCATGCAATAAAAACATGTTGGTTTTCTTTGAAAATGTCTAAATGAGTTTCTTAAAGTTTTTGAAACTGGTTTCACATCTGTTTTCCTTGACTCTTTCACAAAAAAAGCTTTATGAGGTTCTAGACTTTCTTTGGGTTTGTAACCAAGTCCAGCTTTGCTAGAATTCACTCTTTGATAACCTAATATAGAATCAAGATTTTCATAGGATTTTGAAAACTTGCTTATTATTTTCTCTAACTTGAAAATATCATTTTCCAAATTATTACAATTTTCACAAGGTTTAGCAACTTCTTTATATTTAGACAGTTTTAAATTTCTCAACATCTTTCTTTAAGCACTCATTTTCTTTTTCAAGAATACCAACAATATTTTCTAATGTATCAAACTTTTTTCTAAGTGCATTGTATTTCTTAGATAACTTGGTAAAACCTTCATACATATCTTGATATTCTTTAAAAAACTCATCATATTCATTTAAGGATTTTGTACTGCTTACCTGTGATGAGACTTCATCATCACTTTTTGTCATCAAGCAAAAATTTGATTCTTCTTCTCCATCACTGCTTTTGGAAGAACTCTCTTGTTTTGTGAAAGAATCATTATAAGTTTTGTGTTTTCTCTTATAGATAATGTTCTTCTCTTTCTTCTTCTCTTTCACATCTTTCTTAAGTTTCGGACAGTCTGGTTTGATATGACCAGGTTTTCCACATTCATAGCAATGATATTTATTTGTTTTCTCCTTTCTTTGCTGTCTCTTTTTACTATTTTTCATAAAGCAAGAAAATTGTTTAACAAAAAGAGACATATCGAAATCCGAAAACTTACCTTCATTTTTGCTTTCATCTTGTGAAGATTTTTTTACTTTTAGAGTTATCGTCTTGGCTTGATTCTGCTCACCATTCGTTAACCTTTGTAGCTCCATCTCATGTTCTTGCAGCTTTCTAAATAGAGTAGCAATATTCATTTATGTGAGATCCTTTGATTCTGTAATAGCAGTGATCTTTGGTTGTCAATTCTTGTCTAAGGATTTCAAGATCTTTGTGTTCAATTCCTCATTGTCAAAACTCTTTCCTAATGCTTTCAAGTGATTTACTATATGTGTGAAACGTGTTTGAAAATCCGTGATGCTTTCATTTTGCTGCATTTGAAATACTTCATACTCCTGGATGAGTGTGTTCTTACGTGCTCGCTTTACTTCATTTGTTCCTTCATGTGTTACATCCAGTTCCCAATCAACTCCAATCACAAGAGTGACTCTCAATTCACTATCTTTTAAATTCAGTTTACAAATTACAATCAACTCAGTAGAAGAACCAGTAAAAAGTAAACTAATTAAAAAGACAATCTGTTAGAAAAGGAGGCTAAGATCAAGACGGGGGGTGAATTGATCTTTGAAAGATTTTCGCAAATTATAGATTATCTATTTCAAAGATTAAGAGTTCTGACCAATTTTTGAATCAAACAAAACAAACAATCAAAATAAAGGCAGCAGCAGAATTAAAGAGAGAAAGGTTTAGAGAGATACAACCAAGATTTATACTAGTTCACCCAATCTCAGGGCTACGTCCAGTTCTCAACCAAATTCCAGCTGAGTTCCACTAGATTGAACGTTTTACAGATTACAACTCCAATCACACACCCAATCTACCACACAAACCAAAATTCCAATCCTTGCACCTAAACCTTCACCAAGAACCAACTTCCAATTCTTGAACTACCCTGTAGCCAAATTCCAGCCACAGAAACCAGTGCCCACACTTCCAGACACCCAATCTTACCACAAGAACCAAATTCCAGTTCTTGCACTTAAACTTTCACCAAGAACCAAGTTCCAGCTCTTGAATCAACCTGCAGCCAAATTCCAGCTACAGAACCAATGCCCACACTTCCAGACACCCACAATACAGAAAAGAAATGTAAAAGAAATAAAGAGAAGAAACTAGAACACTCAAACCCGGATTATGCTACTTTGCAGAATGAGTTTCTTCACAAAAGAAATGCAGAAAATGCCTTAAGAAAGAACTTTTGAAAAACTTCACAAAAATTGCG